GCTCAGGGGGGGAGTGTGGTCCGGTTCCCCACCTGCTCGCTGTCTAGGCTGCGGCCTTGCTTTGTGAGCGCGGACACGGAGGCGGGAGCCCTGGGCCTGGCTGAGGTCCACTGGGGAGCAGAGCTGGGCGCCTGTCATGCAGCCAGGGCCCACGCTGAGATGGAAAAGTTGGGTGTTTGGGTCAGATGAATGGTTTGATTAAACAAATGAGCCTCATGAACTGGACCCCATGGAGAGTAGGGGGCGTCCAGCTAGTGGGGGACCCCATTTGTTCATGCTGCAGGGGGTGCCCAGGGCATGCTGGGTGCACTGCAGGGGGTGGACACGGGGTGGAGCTGGTGCGGGGGAGAGGCAGGTAGCCCACAGACAGACCGGACATGCTTGGGGGTCCTGAGGGGCCGCCCTTCCCAGGAGCCGGAGGGTCCTGCCCACGGGCGGCCGTGCAGGTGGCCGGCCCCAGCCCTGAGCAGCGTGGTCTGACCGGGGCCATGGAAGCAGAAAGGACTGAGCGAGCCACCGTGGCAAAGGCCTGGCCCCTCACCTCCAGGTGGCCTTCCCGACTTGGGGTAACACAGCTCAGAATGGGGCCGGGTGGCCAGGGGCACTGAGGTCCAGACACTTGAGAGAAGGCTCTCCCTCCCCAGTGAGCCTGTGAGGACGGTGAGGCCGGCGTGGCCGACGGAACCCAGCGCCGGGGCCCCAGGGGAACCCTGCCCAACGGTCCCGCCACGTGGTGTTTAGGACAGCGCCACGCAGGAGCTGTCAGACGAGGACACGGAGGCTCAGGGTTAGAGGACCATGAGCCAGGCCTGTCCCCAAGGAAGTCCGTGCTCTAACCACTGCCCCATCCTGCTCACCAAGGTTCCTGTGGGTGGGGCAGACATAGACTGAGCGCCTCTCGGGGTGGCACCCTGTGGCCCCTGCAGGGTCCGGGGCCTTCGGTGCTAAGCTGGCCCCGAGGTGGGGCAGGGAGCCTCTTTAGGCCCGGGCGGGGCGGGCCGGGGTGGGGGGCGGCTGCGTCTGTGCCCCGGGCAGGAACTCGGGGTGGACGGGCCCACAGTCTGCCCTCGGGAGAGTTTTCTTAAGCAACTGGGAGGGGGAGACGCATCAGTGTCACGATGAACTGAACTGTGAATCCTGACCCGCCTCTGCTGCTGTGGTTTGAGGTGGGAGAGGCGCAGGAAAGCGACACCCCAACCTGCCCCCCGACATGGCCTGAGTGGCCCTGGTGCCCAGGACAGGGACCTCAGCCTGGAGGCCCTGCCCAGGCGCCCCCCGCCCCCGCACGTGCTGTCCTCCTGGTGAGGCCCCAGCGCTGTGCTGTCCGAAGCTCCGCTCCCTGGGCTCGGGGAGGAGTCGCTCAGCTTGGGAACGTTTGC